GCGCACCAACATCGTGCGCAATTTCTCTTACAGCGACCGACGCCTATCCTTCACCATATCTACCGTGGAAGATATCTTCGAAGTATCTGTGCCAAGACTGCAGATAATACGAGGAAGGCTTGAAAATAATAACGAGCAATCCCATCAGTCTAATGTGATAGAACCGGATAGAAGAGCTCTTCGGCGAGAGATGATGAAGTGGTGGCAGGGTCTTGCTGAATACATCGACGAATTAGTCAGTGAAATCTGTGCTTTTCTACAACTCCTCTGACAAGTCGTTCACAGGAAGCCAATTTCGTTCCAGAACATGCCACATCATTCCATAAATCCCTGCCGCGACTGCCTTCCGTTAGCATAGACGACGGTTATGACTTGCTGGACGACGACGACGGGGTGGCGACACCTAAAGGACGTTCAACAGTTCTCCCTCCACATCCTCCGAATACTCCTCAGACCCCTCGAGTACCGTCACGCGGCTCGTTATCATTCCCCTTTCCGAGCAAACAAGACGAGGCAGAACAGCCGTCGGAGCCAACAAGCACACCAACAAACACCCCTCATTCGTCTACCATCACCACACATACCACCTCAGAACTCGATTCTTTGCAGCTACTCACAAGCATTAGGCATTCCTTCCAACGGACGGAACAGAATCTGTACACTGAGCTTGCGCGCACGCCGGAGTCCTCTCTGAATGATGCTCGTCGATCATTCCATACGGCCGCCAAAGGCGCAACCAGGCGATTAAATGCATGGCAAACGAAACATACGCCAAGTATGGCCGGGCATCTTCATATTCCGTCTGACGTGGAACCTAGCTGGTGGTCGCCTGGTTGCCATGCTATGCCGGGAAGCAATGTACTTATTAGAGAGAACGATTGGGGTAGTATAATCGCGTTTACTCTGAGGTATGTTATTTACCACTCACTTTTTCGACTTGCTGATACCAAAATCTCCAATAGCTCCCAGGATTACGCTCGCGAGTTGACAAACATGTCTTCCAACCGCTCGCATATCATGCCCCCCGTTCCACCTCCAACGCCTGCCAAGACACGACCGTCATTCTTCTCTAGAGGGAAATGGAGCACATCACCCACGCAACAACCAGATCCCGACCAAGAGGATGCGGTATGGCACGAACCGGAGGAGTATTCTGCTGTGATATCTCGCAAAGAGCACCCCAGGGACCCTACTTCGATCCTTATGACGATACCAGAGGTTCTGCGGAAGGCGCCAGTGGATCTTTCATCTCTACCTAGTACCTCAAAGTTTGCAAGCTTCGGCACCGCGTCTGGAAAGGCGGTCATGCCCCCTTTGGCTCGAGCTAAGGCCGAAGTTCAGGTTTCCAGGCAGGCCGCTGACGCATATCTCAGCGGAGTATCTTCCGAGAGCGTCGACAAGATCATCTCCGGGCTTGAAGCTGTCTCAGATATCCCTAGATCTAGACGCAACTCGGGCTCCGACAGTCAAACTTCAGCATCGACATTCTTCGAGACCAACATCCGTCGTGGAAAGACGTCGTCAATTATGACCCGGGACAGCGATACGTCTACCATTGGACCTCCAAGCACCGACAGCCACCTCATTGTTCCCCCACCTCTTCCTCCCAAGCATGAGGCCTCTGAGCCTACTTCGCCCGAAGAAATAGCCCCTCCTACGGAATCTACCATTTCAGCTACTGGATCTATGTCTGAGACTCTCACGAACACACTTGGCGCCGCTCTTCGATACATGGTTGGAGGAGGGGAGTCGCCACACCTCCATCTCAAGCACCATCATGGTCTTCTCTCCACAGCCTCTCCCGCCATCGACGAGAGACCACATATCAAGTATGACTGGACTATCGGCAAGCGGCTTAGGTTCAGCTGTACCGTGTATTATGCCAAGCAGTTTGATTCTCTGCGTCGTCGTTGCGGGATCGAGGATACGTTCCTGAAGAGTTTGGCTCGGAGTGAGAACTGGTTGGCGGAGGGAGGGAAGAGCAAGTCGAATTTCTGGAGAACGACAGATAACCAGTACATCATCAAGACCCTAGTGAACGCGTGGAACGTTGCAGATCTGTATGACTTATTCACGCTGCTTTCACCCAGTGACTGATGTCCTCATCCTTGCATCATAGGCAGGTGCTCATTGATCTCGGGCCCTCGTATTTCCGGTACATGGACGCCACCGCGAGTAAAGCAACCGTCCTCGCCAAGCTGTTAGGGTTCTACACTGTCGAGATCAAAAACTTAGAAACCGGGACCGTCCAGGCCAAAGCGGATTTGCTCGTCATGGAAAATCTCTTCTACAACCAGACCATCGCCAAGACATTCGATCTGAAGGGGATTCAAGGCCGCAGGGTGAAAGCCTCCTCTGGGACGGAAAATGTGGGCTCGAAGACGTTGTTTGATGGAGAGTGGATCGAGGGTATGAATACACCTCATGACGTCTTTATTGGTGGCTGATGACAGTTGGTTTTTCAGGCCAGCAGCGTGCATTGACACTAGTTCACCCACATTCCAAGGCCATTCTTACGGAAGCCATTAGATCCGACTGTGAGTTCCTTGCGAGGAGCAATATCATGGATTACTCGTGAGCAGTCCTGTTATTACTTCATCAGCCTAGGCCTGACTGGAGATGTTCTGGGAATAGGTTGTTAGTAGGCATCTGCCAGGAGAGAAAACACATATACTGTGGTTTAGTTGATGCCATCGGTATGGCTGATAGCCTCCCATGATTATGCAGTACTCATAATTTCTTCAGGGAGTTACACCTTCGCGAAGACCCTGGAGTACAAGGCCAAGCAAGGTCTCAGTACGGGCAAAGAGGTAACTGTCATTCCACCGGTAGAGTATCAGGATCGTTTCGTGAACGCTATGGATAATTATTTCCTTGCATGCCCTGGTGCGTCCTTCAATTTCAGCATGCAATGAGCCTGATTAACGACTTGGGAGCAGACAAATGGTCACGCCCGTTGGATCATACGTCAGTTCCGAGTGATTATAGGAAACTCCCCAGCGTCCTATAGTTCGTCTGTTTGCTCTCCCTCGTTGTATCGTTATTAAGGTTAGTAATATACAACCTATGTGCGCACCCTGGCTGAGTTCATTGGTAGCTGTGTTCATCTTCCCATGTTACCCGTGCATGGCATACTGTCCACCTCATTGTGTATTTCTGGTGTTTCAATAGGCCCTCCATGTACTATTATTACAATCAAGCTCTGTATCGCAGCATACAATATATTCATTATCACTCGAGTTTCTTGGCATCCAATCGAGACCCAACCCATCCTGTAGCATTGTAGGTTACTCGCCACCTGACGATACAGCATGATGTGTTTCAGTCTCTTTGATGACCAATGTGAGTTGTTAATACATATCTCTGATAAATGCTTGCAAACTTCATCTTCGCAGGGTTCGTTTTCAAGCTGTCTTGAGCAGTGACTCTACTACATCGCCGGCCTCTCTGCCTATGAGTCCTTGCCAACGAAGCTGTTCAAAAACGTTGGCCCTGATGAAGGTCACGCTTGAATTATTTCTTAAAGCGCGACTTGCATCTCGGTTTCTGGAAAACAGGCTTCCCTACTACTACCAGTTATAAGTGGTGCATCGCGCGACTGACTCAGACGAGGGAAAAGGGTGAGTCTGCCTTTTCGATGTTTGCTCATTTGAAGGCCTATCACCACTAACGACACTCACCGGACGCTCTCGACGTATCCTCGACATGGCAGTAACTTCAAGCAAACGTGCTGATATCCGAACAAACCCCACGCAAATCAGTCATAGGATGAAGGCTCGGCGTTTAAAGTTTCGTACTCAAGTTGCAAAGCTGCTCGTCTGTCAAGTGCCCCTTCATAAACCATGGATTGCACTCTCACGTCTTCTCACATATTTGGTCTCGTTTCTGCGATTGAACGGACATCGCGGCATATGGCACAGGAATTGAGCGGTCGCCTTATCATAAACTCCAGGGGCTCCGCTCGTACTCCCGCAATATGTTCACTTCTCTCAAACTGCAGGTACTCTGTGGTGCTATTTCAATAGCTAGCGGTAGGTCTCCGGCACGCTTTTTCCGACTCGTGGCTATGATACTGAGATATGAAGCACAGTCACTGCACTGAGCAGCGACTTCAGCTTTGGAAAATTGACTCGGATTGCGAGGCAAATCCAGACACCACCGTCAGGATATGACCCTGGGGTTAGTCTTATACACGAAGTCAGACAGGATGCCCTCTTACTCCTTGGATCATACAGTGCCTCACACAGTGCGACGCTGCTGCCGCCGCCGAGGTGTGTACTCTACGTTCCTTGCCGATTGCGTTTCAAAGTCATAACTAATTCAATGCAGAACTGCACTACTACCCAGCCGGTGGAATGTCAGTGCACCGAGACCTTCAACCAGGCAGTGGTGGATTGCTATGACTGTCTGATAAGCGATTCAAACGCGGCCGGCTTGATCACCCAAGAAGACTTGGACAATTTTCAGACCGGAATTGCAGGTGAGCATTTGAATACGCGCAGCCGCAATGGTCGATAGACTTATTGGGGGCATGTCTAGCTATCGAGGATGCATGCAAAGATCTCGGCGTCCCATTGAAATCATTGACGTGAACGCGACGCTGGCAACAACGATTGTATCCGCAATGGGTGGCAACGCACCCGCTAGTGGTACAACAACTTCAGCATCCACGGGTTCTGACGCAGTGTCACAGACGGTGACGAGCGGAGGGGACACTCCTGCAATACCCAGTCAGACTGGTATCCCTGGTGCTGCCAGCGGCGATGCTGTGAGTCTTCACAGCAGACGTTCCGTGGTTCTTGCGTGTGTATTCGGGTGACTGCTACTTCCCTTGTTGTATGCGCTTGACCATACGTTGTCACTATACTACATTCCTGACAGTAACCTAGCTTAGTGTTGACATTGTGAAGAGCACTCACGGATAGAAATCATCCCCAAACTTTTATTCTGCAGGTCATGAAGTCCTCATCAGATCCAGCACTATCACAACCAAAAAAGTCGGGCCCAACTGGGATTCGAACCCAGGGTCCCTTGCAATTAGTTCCCGTTGCCAGGTACCCAAAGCAAGTATCTTACCACTAGACCATTGGGCCGACACGCTGGGGATCATTTAGTACGATATAATTGTTTTGGCTTTCTGATACGACCAAATGACGTCACCACCCATACTTCCGAACTTGAGCTTGAACTTGAACTTGATTCTGAACTCCTTTGCATCTACCATGGAGAATCCTGAGAAGGAAATTACACAAGTCGTCAAGGCCTTGACTTGTGCGGAGACTCCAGAGGGGCAAAAGGCTGCAATTGAGAAGTGAGTCGTTGTCTAACTTCAAGTTGAAGTCACCACCGAGTCTCGAACAGAACAGACATTGATATTGGAATCAGGTATTATGCCATAGATGCAGGATTTCGGCACCCTCTTTGCACCGTTCTGTCAGGCCCGAACTCTCGCAACTCCATCCTAGGTATCTACCAGTGCGTCCTCCGAACAGATGTTTCCGAGGTCACTTTCGTACTCACATTGGCTACTTCCCCCTCCAGATGGTACCGCGTCCTCTCTCCTGAGATCAGCCTCGAGGTTCAAAGCGTAACGTATAACGAATCCAAGCAAGAACTCTTTCTCGAGGTCGCCCAGCGGTTCCACATCCGATGGTCACCGCTTCAACCCTCCCCCGCACGCCTGATAGTCCATATCGTTCTTACTCCGAGCGTAGACGACCCGAAACTGTTCGTTATCGCGTTGCAAGAAGATTTCTACCATCCAGAGGATCTGGCGGCCTTGGTGGTGCCGCCGTTGATACCTGTTGTGAGATTGTTGCTGAGGGCAGGGTCGATGGCGAGCAACGTTAATGCATTTGTGTTCGGAAAGCTCGGTATGTTCGGTTCTTCGTGGCTATTGTCCCCCGGCACTAAGAGTTGTATCGTAGGTTACTGGTCACCTCAGGGCACCAAGCCCTCCAGTTCACCTCCGCCCTAATGAGGTTCATCCTCTCAGGGCTTCTCTGTTTAATTATTGTGATGGTTACTGTGTACTATCTCTTGTGTAGCGATACCATGTATTTCTCAACCGACAGCATCTATCCCAACCGTCAGCGATGTCTCGATGTATCTGGTCCCCAATCAAACACGAAAACATTGATGCAATATGCGTCTTGAAGCACTCTATGTTACATGGGTGATATGTTGAATGTCCGTTGGAAGGGGACCCTGCGATGACGAGGCAGCATGCAGAAACACGTCCCGCGTTCAAGAAGCAGAGTTAATCCGAGTTGGAACAACAAGCGGAACCGCCATCCTGAAAGGCTGCTGTGCTGTGCGAGTCATTCGCGCCTGGAACGTCCATGCTTGGATTCGCACTGAAGAAGTGGCATGGCTTGAATGAGACGTGGAGCAGCTCAACGGGCATCCTGTCGTGGAGCAGCGTCAGCAGTGGCGAAGTGGAATTTGGCAGGAATACCTTACACTGGCCAGTCTTCAGGTCTCGGGATGTGAGTTGCACCTTGCGGTAAAACGTTGTCAGCGAGTTCTCAAATAAAGCAAGCGTGCCCCACGCTACATACCGACTGTCATGTAAACCAGGAGGTCCTCTCCGATAAGGTTGTCATCACCTTGAACCCACGAAGTGATGAACTCCTCTTGGTGTTCACCTCTGGTTCCAGGGACGTACTTGCCGGATGGCCAGATCCGCGATCCCTTCGGCCCCTCCTTGTCCTTTACAACCCATAAATCCGACTGAGTGAACCCGGCTCTCTTTGCCACCCAGCTGTCCGGCTTAGCCATCGACTTGCAGATGCCACCCTTCATTCCGATAGCATATCCAACGTCCTTCTTCGAGGCTGGGTGCTGGTGGTCGGGGTTGGTGATAATCCACCTGCGGTCCTTCTCGCCGTCGTAGTTTCTGGCACCGTCCTTCTGCTTCGCAATCGGAGTTTCGCGAGTGAAGAAGCCGTTGCCTGCGAAGTTGTGGAGGGACCCAGTCGGGGCGTCCAATTGGAGAACGTCCGTCTCAACAACAGTGTTCTTAAGCCCGTCAATCATGGAGTCCAGACGCACGGAGAACAGATGTTGGTGGTACTGGGCGGAGATCCCGGGGGCAACAACAGCACCGAAAGGAGTAGGTTCGCCCTCGGGATTCGGGTAGACTTGCAACATTCCGGAGAGTCGGATCTCCAACTCGGCACTTCCGTCCTGATAGAAGTAATAATTCAAAACGTACTCTGGAAAATGAGATAAAGAGTCGATGAGAAACCCAACGCCGGTATCTAAGTATAAACGCACCGTAATTTGCGAGGGTACAGATCATGCTGACCACCAAGCGGCGAGAACGTACAGCATGAGACCGCCCGCCGACACGGTAGTCAGTATGTTTCCACAGGAGACCGTGGTCTTCTTCGTGGATGCAGATAGCGTTCTTGATCACAAATGCTGTCCCATCATGCTTCACGAATGCCCCGGGCTAGTCGGAAGTTACGCGTCAGAACTGCTCATCGAGCTAGAGAGTTGACTACATACCAAGTAGTGGATCTGGCCCAAGCAGTCACACCCCAGCGCAAGTTCATTGGCCATGGTTCCCATGCCGTACTCGCCCCTATATATACTGGGTCAAAGGAGTTCGATGAGCGGAAGAAAACGAGGACGTACGCATCGAATGCGTGCTTCCTTGGATGAGGATGTTCAGGTGCACCGTAAGGGACAACCATCTCAGAAAGCGAGAGACGGTAAAACAGCGGGCGAATTGTACCCTCATCATTGTATGTGACTGTGGATAAGACAATGCCTTCCCGATGGTGGAAGGCTGCGTGGTGAGAGGGACTAATCAACACACTGTTGCGTACCAAATTGAATTAGGACAATGGCCACCATTACTGACCGATGTGCATCTTCCACTTCTGCCACTCCAATTCATGGCCGTCCATCTTGAAGCTGACACCGTCAGGCTGTACAACATGAAGAGGTTTGACATCGCTTCGGATCTTGAAATCCGGGTTTGACTTCTCGATCAGGTCTGGAAGGAAGTCCTGTGACTCCAAAGGCGGTGGGATACGATTCCTAGCTGGTTTATCGAAAGTAGATCCATCAAGCGGCGGGGGTGCAGTTGTAGGCTTCTTCAAAGTTGCCTCTTTACCGACGGTTGCAAAATCCAAAGAGGACTCTGACGACGTAGAGTCGGACTTGCGGGCGAATTGGGGTGGCCAGTCAATGTGAATGACTTTCTTCGCCATGATGTCGACCACGGGTATGAAATCCTACGAGGTACGAATCAGCACTCCGAGTGCATTGAATATCGCAGTCAAAAGTACCAGGGGATGCGCATAGAGGTTTTCATGCTCCCCTGTGCGTGCGAAAACGATGGCCTGTTGAATACGACCATTCTTGGGGAATCGCTCATCATAGCCTGTGAGAAGCTTGTCAAAGCTCTGAACAAGAAAACGAAGAGTTGAACATACCAAGAGCCCAACCGTCCGCAAAGATTTGATGAGCTTCAACACCTGAGAGTGACGTCACGTCAGATAGGAAACGACGGAAGTTATGAATAGTAACGCTCACCAACTTCCTTCGCGAGACGAATGACTGTTTCATCCTCGCGGACAATCTGCTCGCACATGAACAGCTCCTCAACACTGATTTGCGGCTGAACACCATCCGGGAGTTTCTCCAGGGTTTCCACCTCCCATACACCATTTTGAAGCGCGACTATTGTATTGAACGAATCGCTACATGGATTGGCGTAGTTAAAGAGTGAGTATTTCCAATCAAGAAAGCCTGAAAACGCACCCAGTGACGACATCGATGAACTGCATGGTCAAGGCAAGGTCAGACCGAGGTGTTGTTGAGGATTCCAGTGCATTTACATCCACCTCTGCTTGTCTAGTGATTTCCGGTACAGGTTCCGGCTTGATCCCAGTACTCAGAGGGATCCCAAGGAACGCAAGGACGTCCTTCTTGGGAGGTGGAAGTAGGGACGTCGTGATGAAACGAATCGCCTTGATGGGTGTTTTTGCGGCCGTGTACTTCCTCACTGCCAAAGACACGGCGACCATCTTGTACGACCACTCAGCAAAGTTCAGTTGAACGAGAAAGTGAACTGCCCTCACCTCGTCTGGAGTCAATGGGTCCAGAGGGTGCTTGAAGCCGGGGAACGTAGCTTTCGTAGATGTTTGCACGCAGCTTGCAGTTCCGGGAACGCCTTGAACTGTTGAGTCGACGGATGTTGTCATAGTGGGATGCTAGATGCGCGAAGTATCGGATCAGAGTATAAGGACGAGCAAGCTTGGGGCCAACGCCGGTTACTCGAGAGGAGTGAGATTGCTCGTGGTTGTGTTATCGCCCAGCCTTTCAGCCGTCTTTATATCTACGCACGACTGGGACCACTGGCAAGGCTGGCTTTTTGCTGTGGCCGCGAGCAGAGCAGCCGTCAACAAACACCCGCACGTAACTGACCACGAGATTGATCCTGCTGTGAGCGAAATGTGAGAGATGACTGCTCCTGAGAAGATCTGAGCAGTACTGCTCTCAGGCCTCCGAAGATGCCTTCACCTTTCTGCTGGTATCCGGACGAATGGTGGATAGTACCATTTCCCGCAGATGCTCAAGGCGCAGTGTTCGATTGCGTAACGCTAGCACAACCTCATCCACGGGGATTACCACCGCTCTCGGACGGGCATAGACAAAGGCAACGGTGCCAAGCTTTCACTGCTAAGTGAACATGTCCATTTGTCAAATGACTCAAATATCATTCGACACCTTGGCTTCCACTAGTATTTGGCACATCTCCCGTCAGCAATGCACAACAAGCCAAGCAGAGCGGTAACTCAACAGCGAATGTATGCACATCATTGTGCGAGTCTTCCCTTCTTGAGACGTAAGTTGCATGTCGACAAGAGACTTGTATCTCGGACATCGTCGGTGGTCTGCGAACATGTCAAGTAAGGAGGGAAAAGTGGATCGAGTCCAAACTTCAGTTAGCTGAACAGCAGGTGGACAGTCGTTCCAACTTCCAATATCGCGATCTCTCCCTTTTATTTAATCACTCCCGTATCAACAAGACCATCGGGACTGTATCGTTTCAATATCGCGATATCCCTAAGACCAA